CTGATTAGCTCGCTTACGCTTTGGTCTTGACTGCCTGGTGGTCGTGACAGATATCTTGTTTCATAGCAATTTCAAAAGACATAAACAAGTCTGGAATACAACAATGGGATGAGACCAGACATTCACCTAAACGTGACAGGCAAAGAATTTTGACCTTTTTATTTTAGTATTCATTAGTAAACAATGTTTTAACTGATATTCATTTTATTTAGAAAATATTTCATGTTTTGTTTTGCATCATCCTCCAAAGTTCAGAAAAACAGGGGAAATTCAGACAGTGAGCACAAACACCTGGTCCATTATATCAGTGTTTCCAAAAGCATCCCTTTAAAAAATGTTGAGGGGAAGAAAATGCAAGTCTGACCATTGGGCTATTTAGATCTCTCCAGGCTAATAGTCCCCTTCTTTACCTTTACTGCTTATATTTACAGTGACATTTTTTTTCCAAGACTTTCATTTCAGTAGTTAACATTACCCCTAAACGTGTATCATATCTTCCACCAGCTCCCAGCGATGAACTGATTTCTTTTTAGAACTGCCCTTTCATTTACAGATTTCAGCTTTTTACACTTCCTTCCTAGATTTCTATTCATTTGGACACTCTCTCCCACCTTCTGTGCCCATTCACACATGTTCTTTGTTTTCCTTTGATTTATATCCCCCAAAAAAATGCACTATCTCGGTCACAGCTGACAAAGACTCGACAGCTGAAATATGTTTTTTCATACTTAAGTTATGTTTTCATTATGTGTTCAACCTTGTGCAAAGTTTTTTTTTGTTCTTTTGCAGCCTGTATAGTGACACAGCTCCTTGCACAAAGCTTTACAAAAAGACTTGAGTAGAGGATGTGAAATGTAGTGAACACAACAAATACAGCTATTTATACAGAGTGCCTTTTTTGTGGTCCATCTTCTAGACCTGTCGTCATTATAACACTTTATCAGATTTTCTCCTACAATGAGTTTCGGCAGCTTTGCAACATTTTCATTCTACATATTCTATACTCAGGCAGCAACATTCACTTTGCACTCCACTCAGCAAACTTAATGGCCTGATAGAAGGCTATCAGATAGGCCTGATAGAAGGCTATCGACCTGAAGAAGGCTCCACGGCCGAAACGTTGTGTTCTCTTTCTTCTTTTTTTCAGCATGGAATAAACCTATTACTTGTTCCTTAATGGCCTGATGCTCTACGCCTCAAAACAAGGAATGCTATGTAGTATATGTAGGCTGCTTAAAAACAACGGAGTGTCTCTCCACGTACAGAGACATAATGAGGGGTGGTCAAGCCTTTACTATACAAGGGGCTATATTAACATATGGATTCTAATAGCAACACACGTCCATTACCGTTTATAATCCCGAAAGTAATGCAATTCTGGAGCACTATTATGGCCTTTTTAATTACGGAAAAATAATTTTGCCTTGTGGTGAACCCATAAAATAAAAAAAATGATGTTTACTAAAAGAAAGCATGTGCAACGTAATAACATTTGGCAAGTATCACAATCAATAGTGAAGCATTTAATGCTAATCCTTCTAATGAAATGCAGTGTAATAATATGCGGAGAGCAACATTGTTTAGTCACAAGAGTGACGAAATGAGAATTTAAGGCTTCATTTCAATATGTAAAAGTGGTTGTTCCTGAAAACATGAGGAACAATGGCGTGAAGATTGTGCAGATAAACGTGCCTTGATATTTAAATGAGATTTATTAAAAACAAAGACACCCCACACAAAGCTGACCGCACCAGAAAAAAACCCTAGTAGGCATGTCTATTCCCTGATGCAAATACAGTACCATGAAAGCAACGCATGAGAAATCAATGGCCGCTGTAATTGTTGCACAAAGACACTGCCATCAGCCAACTGACACAACTATGGGAGAGGAGGAGTACCACCTAACTGTATGAGGATAGCAGATCTACATTTGTACTACCCTACTTATGAGCAAGGTAGAAGACAGACTTAGCAGATTACATAAAATAACCTCAAATGGCAGATTCTGTTTAAATCCATAAACCATGCTAACATTATTTATATGCTCCCAAAGATTCAACTGACAGAGTGCAGTATACTTTTTAGTTTTTAAATTTAGCATTTTAGAAAATACGAATTTCATTAACATGTTTTATAAACAAGTAAATTTGATGGTGAAGTAATAACAGAAATTCACAAAATTGACCAAATTAAGTTTTAAAATGTAGTTGGTTATGGTTATGTAATTATCAATTATCAAAATTTGCACCTGAGTTTAAGAAAGTAAGAATTTCATTAACGTGTTTTTAAAAAGTAAATTTCATAGTGAAGAAATAACAGAAATAGACAAAATTCACCAAATTAAGTTTTAAGATGTAGTTTTTGCAAGACAAGTATAGTTATCCTTTAATCTACAACTATTTAATTAAAATTTAATAAACAAAAATTTACAATGATTTATCTACAACAATGTAATACAACTACATTCCTGTTTTTGTTATTTCCCATTTACAGCAATAGTTCTTTGGTGTTCATTACCAAAATAAAACAAAAGTTCAAAATTCTTCTCTTAATTGAATTATAGTTTATATATCACAGTTTTTGACTTATATGCTAAGTGGCACAACATGTAACCTATATTACATGGTCAGGGTAACGCAATTAAATTTTTTTACAGAGATAAAAGTACGTAAGTGTTTCATAAAAGCATTAGTGAATGTTAAATAATTTGCACTGACCACTATTGCTGTGCCAATCATGTATTTTGGCTTCCCAGCCACCTGTGTCTGCTGGGTTTCATTCTGAATTGGCAAGCAGTGGTACAAATTAATGCCTTCAATTGATCTACTTTCTTGTTTAGCACACTTAGGCCTTGGTTTCAAAAACAGTCTACTTTAAGTGCATTGTTTCAACACCTTAAGACTGCGTGCCTTTACGCAATTTCATATTGACTTGTTTATTTAGATTTTGCTCCTGTATTTCTGTGCAAACAGCTCTTAGGCAATGATTTTATGATGAATGACAACATATCAAACACTCCAACAATGAGTTCTTTATGCAGATTTAAACCAACGCTCACGGATTTAGAAATTAGTACAGACTGGAAACAATCCCATTAATCATTTCAAGAGCTGAAAGCACATTTAAACATGTCAAGTATAAAACTAAAATCTTTTTTGAAACATGGGTATCTCCCGGGATTAGAGCTGGAATACACACTAAGCAGCAATATAGAGAGTTTCTGGACCAAAGCGTTCTAAAGCTGCAGATCTGATTGTTCGACAGTAAGTTTATCAGATGATCATAATCACAATTCTAGTGAATCACAACTGTGGCGGATTTAACGATGCGGCTCCTCATGCCAAAACAGTCTGCTGGTCACTAGGGCACAGAAAGACAGATAAGAATGAAATAATAGGCAAAATGGATGGGTCATTGTCTGTGTTAATTTGGTTGACAAAACTCATGATAAAAATATTCGGCGAAGCTCTGTCATCCACCTTTGCGTTTTTGAGCTAAATAAGACAAGACGAAACAACTGGTTTAACTAAAATCCATACTGAAACTAATTTCATAATATAAGGTTCAGAGTTATGCGCAGTGCCTCGGGCAGCTAAAATGTGAGAATCGCAAATATCAGTGTGTGCCATTTTCTTTTCTCCCTTTCTCTTTTGTTTTGTAACTGACCCGTATTTCCTGCCGGTCTTCTTTACAGACCACACCATGAATCCTTATTGTGTGTGAACTGAATTTGGTACTCAGATAAACAATGAGAGGTATACGCTGTACTAATTAGATGAAAGATTAAAACTAGAGCACTTTGATTAGAGAAAGAAAAGCCATGGAGGTGCAAAAAATACTTTTAGTTCTCCTTGCTTTTAGCTGGAAGAAAAAGATCTGGAATATGGCAGTACTTCCTATAAGTCTAGCAAACAAAGAAAAGTGACTGTAAAACATTACGTAGGATAAAGAATCAGGCTACATTACACAAATTGAATAACGTCAACAAATTTGAAAAGTCACATGAATTAAACACACCCAGACACCTCTGTACTAATAATTCATTTTAGCTTCATTGTAGCTAGTCAACAAATTAAACAGAAAAAAGACTATTCTGTATTTTACAGTTTGCATATAATTAGGAAATTACTAACTTTGTCTTAGCTAGGGACTATGATTAAGAAGTTATTCTTTTAAAACATGAGTTAGTTGCATTTTAGGTGCATTTCAGCTTTGTAATGGCACTGTCTCAGAAATGAAATGTGATTTTTGTTCATATTTTATTTCAAAATGTTAAGCGAGTCTGTAAAATTATTTTTGCATACTGTACAATTCACAGCATATGAAAGTCTTCAGAAAATAATTTTCTTTAATTACATTTAGTTTAATAGTGGATCTGGAAGTTTAGCTAACCAAGAAAAATTTACTGTAGTGCCAATGTCTTATGGCACATTCAGGCATTTAATCTTATTTCTTCAGAAGAATGTGGAATGGAAGTGCTGTGAGACATCTGAAGCACAGGTCACTTTGTTAGCATGACACTAGCAGAATGTCATTAGCACTTTTCCCCATTGTAGTTTTTCAACTGAAATAAAATGGCATCAAAAGAGCTAGTTATTTATAATAATAGTGAATGTAATTAACGTATAGATTACTTGTTCTGTCTGGTTTTAATATTTTTAAGTAACTCATGCAGTAATTTCCCTATAGTTATTGCAAACTCAGTATTGAGGAGCCTCTATTGAATAAATTTCTAATATTATTGCAATTACATTTTTTTTAAAACAACTTACATTTACATACACCATTATTATTATTACAGTACCAAAATAGATTTTCTTATTAGGAAAGATTCATATGGTATCTCTGTATAAGATGATTTTTTATTCATGCTTTATTGCATAATTATTTCTTTGATATTTGACCTCTCTGGGGATCAATCCAGTTCAGATTGTGCAACAGAGACTTGTGCTTTTTGATAGAATCTTTTTACCTTAATATGCAAAACATTTTCTTAGAGTGAGTTAAGGTTCCTAATCAGTTTTATGAACATTTCTTGCTTAATGTGTTCAGTTAAAAGATGCCACACATTTATAGGCCTATTCATTAGAAAAGTCTTAATCGTAAATTAAACAGGACTAAATTCATAATTCGAAGGCTAAAAAGAAAAAAGAATACATATTAAACTTACATATAGATACATTTTCTTCTTCTTCTTCTTCTTATACAAATACATTAAAATGCTTGGCTAAAATGTGGCTAAAACTAATTCTGTATGGATGCAAACTAAGTTTTTTAAAGATAAATTGTGACAAGACTGATTGGTGACTGTTACTGTCTGAATGAAATTAAAGCTTTGATGTAAAGCCAGGTGTGGCATTACTTTTGCTCTTATCACTTTAAGCATACTGTAGAGACATCACTAGGCTATCTTTCCTAGATCCTTGCTCCGCATATCTGATACTGAAATAACTATGTCTATTTGATCAAGATTAGTCTCCTTTACATTGAAGATACTAAATATGCTTTAATTTGTCCAGTATATTGTGGCTTGTGCTCTAAACTAAAATTATTCTGCATTAGCATGTAACTCTCTTCCTCTTTAAATTGCAATATTTCCAGGCAAAATTTAGACTAGATTTTAAGGTTAAGGTTGTCCTGCACACGTACAAGGCACTAAATGGCCCTGATAATTTTAAGACTGTGTTGCATGAATATTGTCTAGCATCTGAAATCTGCTGATTCAGGTATTCCCAGCCAGGCTCAATATTCAGGCCATAGGGTGATCTCCTCTGCAGTACTATATTTATGGAATTCATTTCCAAAATCCATCAGAGAATCTTTGTCTGTCAACATTTCCAAACCTTGCTTTAAGATCTATCTTCTTACTAACTTTTTAAATATAATTTTAGTCTTGGTTTCTCACAGTCAGCTTGATCTGCTTTTCCTCTCCCATTGCTGCTTTTGTTATGTACCATATTTTGTGTTAGTACAAAGTGTAGTTTGTTGTAAAGCATTCAGGAAAAAAAAAACCTTTCATATTTATGAGGCTACTGATAATGGCAAGGAAATGCATTGTCTTTTCTACATGCATTCCTTACACTTCCACCTCTTCTCTATTTTATTTGTACATACCTCCAATTTTAGCATTATAAGCAATTCCAACTGTGCAATGCGAGTTGTTTGCAGAAGCTGCTACTTCTCCAGCACAACGGGTTCCATGTCTGAGGAAGGAAATCAAAAAAGGAAACATTACTTTCCCAAAATCTGTTAGCTTTGGAATGTTTAATGCCATAATTCTCGATGCAAAGAAAAAATCGATATTATTTCCTATTATTTTGTGTCAGTGATAAAAGTGTAATTTGGGATTTCCAAAGCTTTCCATTTCAGAAAACCAGATGACTTTTGCAATATATTAACATTTTTCATGTACCGCCAAAATGTAGAGGATGTAACTATGTATTGAGATTTTCGTATAAAATCACACAGTTACAATTTTTTAAACATTAAAGGCATAATTTGTATATGGCAATGCTTTCAGCACAAGGCTTTGGGGAGAAGAATGCACGTGTTAGAATTTTTATAGATCAGACTTCTAAAAACATTTTAAAAGCACAATGTTAAGAATACAGTACAGACCACCTAATAAGATATTATTTATAATGGAATCTTAAATAATGTAATTAAAAGATGAAAACGTATGTGGAAAGTAGGAAATGGCTTTCATTAAATTTAATTTTCTTTACACAGATTTGAAAATCTGATGTTAATAGCTGAAAGTGAAAATATGACTACTGTTGCCTTCTTACAGTTTGCCAGTCACAACACCGAGCAGAGGGAATGCCTGTATCGATCTAATCTTTTCAAACAACCAAATCAGAAGTGAGGAACCATTAGTGAACTAAAAAATAGTGAGCTTTGAAGTATGTTTTGAAACTGTACAGGAAGAATCCAAAACAAAAGGTTTTAATGCCAGTAAAGCAATTTATAAAGAATTAAAAATAACATTTAAATATATTCTAACAAGAACAATTCCTTCCCTAAAGTAAGTAAATCAAATATTAATGATGTAACAAGGAGAAAGAAAGGACTTTTTTAAAATAAATTATGCAGTTAAAGAAATTAAACACAATTAAAAATAAACCGCAGTTGGAAGTAAAAAAATATATCAGAAAGGCTAAGAGAGAAAAAAATAATTAATTTTAATACTTTTCAGTACTTTAACAGGAAAATAACAAGTAAAGCATCTGTGAGATGAGAATGCTGTAGATGACTCATTTAATGAATATTTCACGCAGCTGTTTACCATGGGTAAAATTATCAACAACATGCCTCAGACTGATGAAAGTTCTATATGAAACAGTACGAGTATAGAAGTGGGCCTGGCGACATCAGGAAACTTTAAATTTTATCCAATTGAATATTACTACATGTTCATTATAATATTAACAAAACTCTTCCAATACTTTGGTTTTGATAGCAGTAATACCAGTTGATTGGAAAATTGTTAATGTAGCACCCATTCATGACAAAACTAATTAAAGAACAATATATCTGACTTTTGTTACATGCAAGGTTATGGAAACTCTGCATTAAACTAAATTAAAGGATCATCATGCACTCTAGGGGACAATCACTTTGGATTTAGATAAGGTAAGCTTTGTTTAACAACTTGTTTGAGTTCTCTGAACAGGTAACAGCAATAAAGGATACCGGCCAAACATATGATAAGACGTATTTTGATTTTCAGAAGTTGTTTGGAAATTCCCTCCAGCCAACAGGTATTCAAGATAATCGATGTATTAAAATTAAGAACTGATTAATGAAAAGAATTTAGAAAATACTGATAAGGGGTTAATTTTCGAAATGGGAAAATGTAATAAGTGGAGTACCACAGGTATATATATTAGGACCACTACTCTCATGTCTATCAATAATTAAGATACAGCATCAAGAAGCAACACAGGACAAAGATGAAGTTATTGATGTTGGCACATCAATTACATCTTGTTGACAATATAGGAAGGCATTTAAAAATGCCAACAGAGCATTAGGGTATATAGCAAAAAGTGAATAATTTAAATCAATGATGCCATGTTAAAATTGTACACTGCCCTAGTAAAATAATATAATGTACAATTATTGTCACCACTCAACAAAAAGGACATTCCTGATTTGAAATAATTTCAGAAAAGAATACAGAATTTGTGCTTAATGTCCTGGGCTGACCAGCTGAATCTTTTTAATTCTGAACATGGAAAACTCAACAGTGAAATAAACCAGAGAAGGCACTCATTTAACGTAACGAACATAACAAACCTGACACCCTGGATTCTTTCAAGAGGTAGCATGTTGAGATTCTTGGATGATAAACTTTTACTGACTGAATGAACTAGGTAGGCCTTTCATTTGTGACCTTTCCTATGCTGTTATGCCAATTCTGTTCAAGAAAGTCAGGTAACTCTTCTATTAAGAATTTGAGGATTCCTGGATTACACACTTTGCCTTTGGAAAAACTAGGATAACCTTTTTGAAGAATAAAATAAAACAGCAGTTTAATTTCCTCAGTACATGATTAAGGGTCATATTAAGTCACCATTTCTTGACCTTGTATAATCACAACTTGTGAGAGCAGCCATCTATCCCATACTGCCTTGCAAGAAGATTAAACAGCTCAAATATCTTTTAAGGCAAAACAGAAAAAGGTTTTTGTTCTTCTTTACTGTACTCCTAAAAAGCAATGATATAAACTTTCACTCACTTTTCCTTAACATGTACTAAACCCTTTGCCTGAGACTGTGGTTTGTTTGTTCAGACATTTAAGGTTCCTTGAAATCTATGGCATGTTTCCCAACGTCTTTTCCCTTGCTTGAAACCACACTATTCCAATTAATTTCACCTTCCAATCTATCCACACATGGACAGTAGATTTTACTGACTTCTGAAAAGTGTTCTGTTGTCTCTACAAAAACAAAATCTTTTGCATTTTCTCACCGGTTTAATAATTAAAGTTTCCTTGGTGATGGTAAAGTGCTAAACTGCAGAACAGACCACAGTGAAACTGTAAAACAAACAGAAATGTTTGGAGAGTTCATGTTTTATTTAAACAGCTCTTCTGGAATCTGTTTGGCTACATTATTGATTATATGTCTGTGCTAATCAAGGCATATGTTATACAGCTCATATAAAACTATATACATTTACCTCACCTGCATATACAGGTGAATAACACAATAGCCATGTTATAAGGTTAAGTCTAGACTATAACTGATGCAAGTTTACCTGCACTGTATGTATATATAGATTGTTTTACATACAATTAAAATCAATATTTCAATAATTAAATCTTTCAAAAATCATTTAATTTACAAATCAGATTGCACACTTGCTGTGCGAGTGCCCTTTAAGTCATTGTTTGAACACCAGGCATGTACACCCACTGCGGCAATAACTGTGTTGCATCAACGTCACATCGATCTAGTCAAAGCTCGACATCAGAGAATGACACTCCAGGCTCTTATGAGTTCTTTTGCCTCCGAAGAGCAGCACCTTGACATCAGAGATGTCCCAGAGGATCCTGATGGCATTTAAACTTTGATTCTCCAGAGAAAAGAAAACACATGACATGAGCACAGTACAACTGAATTCACTGCAAGTGTTAGCCATCCCAATGAAGCTGAGTTTTCTGGCAGCAAGATAAGATCCCCAAAGAGGACAAAAGCACAGCTACATCCTTCAAACAGACACCTAAAAGCACTAATGTCACAATCTCCTAGATAAAGTTCTCTGAACACTTCGAAAGACATCTTGCTTTTACGAAACAAGGTCCAAGGAATGTGGCCTCAATTGTTCGCCAGTGTTTTCTGAGAATATGAACGCTGAACACAGTTCCTACATTTTGCCACAGACAGAACTGAGAAGTGAACATGTAAGCATGATTTCATTCCTTTTAGCCTCTGTAAGCCATGGCACAGCAACAATAAAACTATGGTTTATAATTAGACTTTTCTTTTTTTCCATTTCAACAAAAGAAAGTGAACCTCAAAAGTGATGACCAACTTCACTGAAATGTGTACAATTATAAGTTCTGTACAGTAAGATCAACAAGTGGTTAGCAATTTTTGAAAATTACTCCAGCACATTATCAGCTGTCTACCCATTTACTGACATACAATATTTATTTCCACACAAATGTGTCCAATCTAGATCTCATTTTTTTACTTTATTGGAAAAATGCACTTTTAAATTCTTTGGCGGTTTGAAAAATTGCTGTTTGTTTTTGCAGGGAGACAGAACTATTTCTGAAGACAAATGCACAAATACAATAATTTAAAAAATCTACTACATATTGAAAAAATATCTGAAGAGTCTTTTCACTCATTGGCATGCACAGCTAAACATAAGCATTTCTTACATTTGACTCTTTTCATTACTCAGCTACCTACATATCCTTGACATGTGAATTTGTAGAGTAAGAAAAGTTCTGTTTCAGAGAGCAGGAATCATAGCGCATAAAAATCACCTAATTTACTCACTTTCTGCCATACAATCCAACCAAATCTTTCACCATATAAAAGTAAATACAAAAATGTGAAACTGATACTATACGTCTGAACATAACACACACCTATAGCATCAGTGTTTGCAAAACATCCACCACTGATCATGCCTTGTATCGGAAGCTCAGGTTCACAGTGCTGTGGTGTATTTTTGTCAACTTTGAATTCTTGAATGCATTCCTACACATCTCTGATGCAGAAATGATAATGCATGCTTGTGTCTTTTAAAGCTTTGATTATTGTAACGCAGTGCTTACTGGTGTATCCCAACAAGCTGCAGCATGTTCAGACCTCAGCTGTCTAGATTTGAAACAAAAACCAAAATGCATGAGCTTGTGTCAACTGGTTTAGCTTCCTACTGGGATCTGTGCATTTCAGAATAAGATTTAAAGTATTGCTGCTCACTATTAACGTCTGAACAGTGTGACTGCTGATTACATTGATGAAGTGTTAACCTCCACATGTTGTTTGTTCTCTTTGGACTCTTCTTCAGTTCCTTCTTTGAACACTGCAAGACTGTACTATCTGTTCTATCACTCCAAGCCTCTGGAATGGTTTTCCATTTTATAAACGCACTTTTATATTTTATACGCTAATTTTTAATTCTATTTGTTACCATTCTCATTTATGTATGCCTGCCTCTTTTGTTTAAATGTTTTATTATA